TTGTAAATAGTGTTTTTGTTTGTTTGTTTTCTTTTCATGATTGTCATTTTTATTGTACTAGTGGGTTTTGATTTTACTTGAATTTTTATGGCAGTGGAAGTTATTTTTCAGGAACCAAACCCAGTACTCCCTTGAGAATTTCTTGTAAGGGTGGTCATGTGGTGGTGAACTCCCGCAGTTTTTGTTTGTCTGAGAAATATACTATTTGCCCTTGATTTCGGAAGGACAGCCTTGCAGGGTAGAGTATTCTTGGCTGGCAATCTCTGTCTTTTAGTATTTTGAATATATCATCCCATTCCTTTCCTTTTAGCGTTTGTGATGAAAAGTCTGATGTTAGCCTGATTGGGGCTCCCTTATAGGTGATTTGACGTTTCTCTCTTGCAGCTCTCAGATTCTCTCTTTGTCTTTGAGTTTTGCCAATTTGACTATAACATGTCTTGGAGAAGACCTTTTTGGGTTGAATACATTTGGAGATCTTTGAGCTTCCTTGATTTGAAGATCTGTGATTTTTTTCCTATACCTGGGAAGTTTTCTGCCACTACTTTGTTGAATATGTTTTCAATGCAATCTCCTTTTTCCTCCCCTTCTGGGATACCCATGACTCAGATATTTGAGCGCTTAATGTTGTCTGATATCTCTCTCAGACCTTCTTCTATGCCTTTGATTCTTTTTTCTTTTCTTTTTTGTCTGCTTGTGTTATTTCATACAGCCCATCTTCACATTCAGAGGTTCTCTCTTCAACTTCCACAATTTTGATGTTTATTCATTGTGGCAGGGGGTTTCACAGTCCACAGGTTTGACACTATTTTCTGACTAAGATGTTGCTGGGGATGCCAATTTGGTATGGCTACCTCAGTTACTGCTCAGTTGGCCACTAGTGCCTTGTGTGTGTGGTTGCCTCGGGTCTTGGTCCTCTCCGGGGAGCCACCTCTCTGGTCAGCTTGGACTCGGCCGAGCTGCTGGGTCACGGGGTGTTACCGCAGGGTGTGTGGTCTCTGCTGAGCTTCCACCTCCCATGCTAGACTTCTCCCTGTCTGTGCGCTCTGGGCTGGGCTGCTGGGATGCGCAGAGGCACTGCAGAGCGTGGGGTCTCTGTGGAGCCTCCCCTTCCCCTGCTGGATGTCTCCCTGCTCTGTGCGCGCTAGGCCGGGCTTGAGATGGAGCCGGGTGGTGGCGGTGAACCGTACCTGCTGCTGGATTGCACGGCGGCGGCCCCCCCACAGGGTGTGTGGACTCTACGGAGCTTCTACCTCCCTGCTGGATGTCTCTGTGCTCCGTACTCATTGGGCCAGGCTGCTGGATCATGCGGCAGCAGTGTGGTCCCCGTGGACTTCCCGCCTCCCCTGCCGGACATCTCCCTGCTCCGAGCACACTAAGCCAGGCTGGGAATGGAGCCGGGTGCCTGTGGTGAAGCCTACCTGCTGGATCACGCAGTGGCAGCCCCACAGGGTGTGTGGTTTCTGTGGAGCCTCCCCTCCCCTGCCGGATGTCTCCCCTGCCGGACGTCTCCCCACTCTGTGTGCACTGGGCTGGGCTGGGAATGGAGCCGGGTGGCAGCGGTGAAGCCTATCTGCCGGATCGTGTGATGGTGGCCCCACAGGGCATGTGGTCTCCGCGGAGCTTCTGCCTCCCCTGCTGGACGTCTCCCCGTTCCGTATGCACTTGATGTTATGTTTTTATAGTTTTAAATCAGTTGATTTGTGGGAGAGAGTGATGCTAGGGACCGTCTATTCTGCCATCTTGACCTGAAGTCCCCTCATATTTGGACAACTTCTGACACCAGATCCAGAAGGCTGCTTCCCCATGGCTGCAAAGTGTCCTGGTCTGTCGTTGCACTCACTCCCCAGGTGAAGATCTACACCAGCCTCAGGCACAGAACTGCTGCCTCCTTTTCTGACTTGGGTTTTAAAGAATGCTACTGGAGGTCTGAGACTGGTACAAAGGCTCTAAGTTGGCATCTGGTCCCCAGATCAGAGTGTGTTTGTCTCCACTCGGGCCTGGCCTTGGTGGCGGTAGGCCCGGGCAGTGCGGCCCATAGCCAGCCGAGAACGCCGCCAGCTTCCTGCTTCCGCAGCGCAAGGGTGCGGCAGCCACAAACAACTAACATTTTAATATTCTTAGTTTAAAAATGGGAGTAGGGGTGGAGGTGATGTACTTTGTAGTCATTCTCAAACTGTGGTCCACAAACTTCTGGGGGTTCCTGAGGCCCTTTCAGAGGGTCTGCAGGCCAAAACTATTTTCATTATAATAATATGTTATTCGCCTTTTTCATTGTGTTTACATTTGCACAGATGGTGCAAAAGCAATGGTGGATGGGTAAGGCTGTTGGCCCTCAGCACAAATCAAGGCAGTGGCACCAAACTGGACTACTGGTCATTGTATTCTTCACTGCCATGCACTCAAAGAAGCCAGGTTCGCTTAAGAATGTCCTTGATGAAGTAGTATCATTTATTAATTTTATTCAATCTTGACCCTTACGTACACATCTTTTTAATAGTTTGTGTAATGAGACGGGAAGTAGGCAGACACCTTCTGCTGCATAGTGAAGTGCAAAGGCTGTCTCCAGGAAAAGTACTCCTGTGACTGTTTCAGTTGCAAGCTGGATTAGCCACTTTTTAAAAATGGAACTGTTATTCTATATGTGAAAGAATGACTGACAATAAACCGTGGTTATTCAGACTTAGGAATCTGGTAAACATTTTCTCAAAAATAACAAAGGGAACTTGTCACTCCAAGGAAAACAACTGACGGTATCTGTTGTTAATGACAAAATGAATTTTCAAGTGACAATAAGAATTCTGGAAAACTTTTATCTACCCATCATGAGCTGACAGTTTCTCCAAAACTTCAAGACTCTTGATGATATTGTATAATGAAATGTCAACATTTTAAAGATCTGCATAACTCAGTGAACCAATATTTTCCAAATGACCAATGCCTTACAATATAACAGTACAAAAAGTTCATCAATGTTGTTTCAGATTCAACATTACAACTAACCCATTAGAAACTAGTTTTGATATAGTATCAAAGAAAAATATCCATAATTACCTGAAGAGATTATTAAAATACTCCTCCAATTTTAGCATGTGCTGTTCATTAGTTTTTCTGGTGTATACCATTATAACTTCAAGTAACACAATTATATGGTAGTCCCCGTTATCTGCAATTTCACTTTCACTGGTTTCAGTTACCTGCGGTCGACCCAGTTCAAAAACATTAAATGGACGATTCCAGAAATAAACAATTCATAAGTTTTAAATTGTGCGCCGTTCTGAGTAGCATGATGAAATTTCGCTCCATCTTACTCTCTTTCTCCTGGGACATGAATCATCCTTTTGTCTGGTAGATGCTATCTACTTATTAGTCACTTAGCTCTCTTGGTTATGTGATCTGTCAAGCTATTACAGTGTTTGTGTTCAAGAAACCCTTACTTTATTTAATAATGGCCCCAAACAGCAAGAGCAGTGATGCTGATACATTGTTATAATTGTTCTATTTTATTATTAGTTATTGTTTTTAATCTCTTACTGTGCTTAATTTACAAATTAAACTTTACCATAGGTATGTATGTATGTATGGGAAAAAACAGTATATATAGGGTTTAGTATTATCTGTGGTTTCAGGCATCCACTGGGGGTCTTGGAATGTATCCCCCGCAGATAAGGGGTAACTACTATACTTTCATTTTGGTATTTTATCTTTAGGTTGTATCTGCTAACCCTCCACTATGAGTTAAGAGATATTTAGCATGGTCATACAGCATTTCTTCTACTTCTGCACTCCTCTTTGCTATCTTTAGCTTTAACAGCTACCTTTCTAGCTTTAATAAATAGACGTAAAATTCTAATTCCTCATCTATGACTCCTTGTTATGAAAGATGAAGGGATCACCTCACACTTACTTTTACTTCTCTTCCCTGTTTACCTCTTGATTTTTGTTAGCTATATTATTTTTTATATTATCAGGTTTAAGACATGTTTGTTTTATTCTGAAATTCTAATTGAGCCTTCTGCATTTGTCTTTATATTGATTCTAAACGTTTAAAATCTTACCACAAAATGATTATGCAAATTTTATTCACTGCAAAACCAAGCAAGGGCACATAGAAAAGGAAAATGTAATGCTATGTCATTAAATCCCTCTAATCAAAGGAGAATGTTTCAACATAAAAGTACAATGGATCTCCTACTTGTCACTCCTGAACTCTGTAGACCAGTGCTGTCTAATAGAATGGTCTGTTATGATGGAAATGTCCTACACCTGTGCTGTCCAATATTAGTTAATAAATAGCTCATGAGGTTATTGGGCACTTGGAGTTTGGCTAGTATAGCTGAGGACCTGACTTTTTAATGTTATTTCATTTTAGTTACTTTAACCTCAAATTTAAACCACCACATGTGGCTAGTGGCTATCACACAGGATGGTACAGTTCAAGGCCACACTATGACCTGCTTGCCTTATCTACCACCATTCCAGGCCTTATCTACTACTACTGAGCTCCTGTAATAACAAGCACCTCCATTTCTTGGGAGACCACTATGTGTAGGCACTATGAAAGCTGTTGTTTAACCTCTAATCTTCCCAAGAACCGTGCAAGGAAAGTGTTACTACCCCATTTAGCAGATGAGAAACCACATTTCCTGGAGGTTAAGTTACCCAGCCAGTGACACAGCTGGGAGAGGTAGCAGAGCTAGGATTTGAGAAGCCTGTGTTCCGCCTATGGTCTATCCTCGATCTCATTACAGGCACCAGACACTATGTTACGTGCTGGGAATTCAAGGGTGAGAGAAGCCCCGACCCTATCTTGGAGGCATTAAACTGAGCCAGGCAGTATTACTTTCTGGGTCTGCTGTGACTAATTTAACAAACTTGAGATAGTGTTCATTTTCACTGCCACTGTGCCAACGGGGTTTATTTGCTTATTATTTGACAATGATGTATTCTAAGGAGATAGAGAAGATTTACAAAATTTTGAAAGTCAGCTAACTTTAACTTACCTCCTTTTGATAGGCCAATCCAGCTTCATAGAGTTTGATAAAGAGGTACTGAGTCCATTTGTAGTAATCTGGCAAACACGTAGTTATTTCCTGTCAAAAAGGAGGAATAATCAATGTATAGTCCATTGTAAACATTCTTCCCACAATGTATACATCAGCCTTGCAATTCAATTTTGAAAAGCAATCAAATTGAAAAAATATTTGCTAACCTATAATATTTTCGCCATTTCATGAAGAGAGGGAAGCAGCAGTTTATTCTGGGAAGAGAGATACTATTGAAATGCCACTCCCACCTTCCCTAAGACATGTTCAATGATGAGAAACTCAACTTCAAGTCTTTTGCACATACACTGCCCACCCACCCATGCAACTAACAGGTGAACTGCACTGCATGAAATTTGGTATTGACATTTTTGTCAGCACAATGTCATGTTGGGGGCCACAAAGCTAATTCATAAGTGTGAAACAGAGTAAGGCTAGGCCTGTGAACCAAACTGACTCTTATTTTCCCTGCAGAGGACACTTTCTTACATTTTTCACTCCTCAGTCATGAGACCCCCAGGGCAAATGATTGCCCCATGGGCTGCCTTGACAAAATAGACTGAGGTAAGAGAGGAAACAGATATTTACTGAGATGCAAAACCGCTCCCCAATGCTTGTTTACCATAATTGTAAAAGTTACAGATTAACCTTAATACCCCTTTAGGAATTCCCACCTGTGCACAAAGCATCAAGGTGTCTGCTACAATGACTCTCCTGGGGTGACAATGATGAATACTACTGCCATTTTGGACCTACTGAGCATGCACCCATGATGCAACCAAGCAGAACAGAATGGACCACCTCCAGTGATGCTGGCCTGTACCCCTTAACTCCTTTCCCTATAAAAGACCCTGAACTCCCTTCAGGGGGCTAGCTTTACTGTTGCTACCCGCCTTATGCATAAGTCTATCTCCTCTTTTAATAAAGCATTGCTTGCTTTACTGCTGGGTACATTGCTCATTTGTATGACTTTGGAATCCGAGAGCCTAATTTAATCACTGGTGAAAATTGGAAAGCTTTGGGAACCAAAGAAGACTCTAGCTGCAAGAGGCAAGTGGCCACTGGGACTATTTTGCTCCCATGTCTCTGCTGCTGGTAGATCTCTCCTGGAGTCCCTAGCCTAAATTCGGACAAGGCAATGCTTTATTCTCTTCACCTTTCTCTGATTTTCTGAGCCCTCTTCTGCTGTTTGGTTGGATTGTGTCCACTACTATGTAGGTGGATTTAAATCTAGCCGGTACTTTTCTTCTTTGGCTGACAACAGTGGAGAGAACTGCTTTTATCAATTACTGTTGTAGGGGAATTGTATAAAAATATAACTTTAGTACACACAGTTTTGTAACAAATGCTTCCTAAAAACATTTTAAGTAAAGCAGCTTCTAAGAGGCCATAAAAGGTCAGGCGGGCCTGAGCACACTAAACATTCCAGGGAGGGAATGACCCCCACCCGGTTCCAGGAACTGACTAGTTCCTTAACTAAAGGCCACCTGGCCAGGCCCCAGAGAAGATAAACGATTGAGAAATGCGCCATTCCTTATCAAGGTACCAGCCTGCTAAAGCCCACCTGTAAATCTAAAGGTGCCACAAATCTATCGGGGTACCAGCCTGCTAAAGTCTACCCATAAATCTAAAGGTGCCGATAACCAACAACTCATCCTGCCACAAGGGTCTGTCCAGAAAAACTGTACAAAAGGTGCTTGTGTTGTAAGCTCGTGGTTGCTTCTGTCCAGGAGACTAAGTGACCCCAGCATGCTGGAATAAAACACCTCTTGCCCAATTGCAGCGGTCTCAGTCTCGTGGTCTTTGTGAAGTGAGCCGTCCCTGCGAGTGTGAGATTTGTGCATGGTGCACGGGTCTTACACTGTCAGTGGACTAGGCTGGCCCCACTGATTGGGACTAGGATAAACTGGACCCCACTACTCCTCTTTTCTCTTTGTTTGTTTGCTTGGTTAGACATTTAGTTGAGTACCGGTAGTCTGAATAAATCTTCCAATCCTTGCACCAACTTTTGGACTTTTAGGTCATTTGTTTAATGCGAGAGGACAAGCCGAGTCTGGTCTGTCGGTAACAAATGTAGCTCATTTCCAAAGCAATCACAAAATTCAAGAGAAATATTTGCTTGCTTTGGTATAATTCTCATTTGAAAATAAACCTTAAGTTTCCACATATAACTGGGACCTGGTGGCTCCTTTAGACTCACTGTAATCCATTTATTTCATTACCTGAGTCAGGCTGTTGTCTACTCAGGAAGACCAATTAAAAAACATGATCAAATATTAAACTTAGTGAGAAACCACCCAGTTTATATTTCCAAGCATAAATCAAAGGCTCCCAAAATTTACTTTCTGTTCTAAAAATACATTTGCTATAGAATTTTAAAAACAGGTCTTGACTAACCAACTAACACGGTTTGCAGTTTATAAAGTCAAGTAAGCATAAAAACCTCTACACTGCCATGTTTCTTTTCTACTGCTCTTTAACTTCAAAACATAGCTAACCTAGAGATGGATGAAGGGAGGGGATATTTCAAATGGTTCCATTTCTGATAGACGCTGTGCACTTCCATCAAAGTGCAGACAACTCAGTCTTCCTTAAGATGAATAAGTGAAGAGAGAGTTTCAAACCCAGGACAGGAGAGTGTGTATGGTAGGAACTGAGAAAGGTGCCAGGTAAACTCCTGGTGCCCCCAATGGGCTGTTTTTCTTATGAAGATTCCATTGTCCTTTTATGTTCTGTTTTGTAAAAATAGCAGAGCAATAACTACTAGAAAACAACTCTGACCACCACCTCCACCTCCCCATTGCAAGGCAGGTGGTCCAGTCAGTCTAATGGCTTTGCCCATGCTGTGGCTGTCCCCCACCAACCCAGCCCTATGTGATGCCAGAGCTGTGATTTCTGAGCCATGCACATAACACAACCTGTACCAGCTCCTGGTGACTCCACAGACACCAACTCTGCAGGGGCTTCGTTCACAAAGAACTTCATCAGCTCAAGACTCAGACCAGCTCACTGCAGGTGGGCTTGCTCCCCAAACCTCCAAATTCATCCTCATCCCATCATCTTTTCATCACCAGCTACCCCTTCTACTGGCATGGCACAGAACTCATTCTTCTCAGTTTTCTAGACACTTAAAAACTTCCATTTTTAACAAAACCCAGAGCAGGAGCTGTTTGGTGTGTTGTTTTTCTCATCATTGTATGTTCAGGTCCTGGCACATTGAGGCACTCCAAAATTGTTGTTGAAGGATACACTAAATAGATATATGAATGCCTGTATGTTGAATGAAATTTGCATGTCTCATGTAGGTTTCACAACTAAATTCAAATTACACTGTGGTCCATAAGATGAACTGGAATAGGAGATGGGGGTGAGGAGTGGAGGGAATATAGCAAAAATATTCCCAGACCTAGTTATTTGGGATGTATCTTTTTTTTTTTTTTTTTTTTTTTTTTTTTTTTTTCCG